GTTGTTGAATTCAAGTGTGTTCTTACTGAATTTCTGCCTGCTGGATCTGTCAATTTCTGATAGAAGGGCTTTGAAGTGTCTACTATAATAGTGGATTCTTCTATTTCTCTTTGCATTTCTATTAATTTTTGCCTCACACATTTTGATATTCTGTTGTTAGGCACATATACATTAAAGATTGTTATGCCTTTTTGGAGATTGACCCCCTTAGCATTATGCTGTGTCCCATCTTTATCTGTGATACCTTTCCTTTCCCTGAAGCTTGCTCTGCCTGAAATTAATATAGCTTCTCTTGCTATCTTTTGATTAATGGTGGCATGGTATATCCTTCTTCAACTATTTTTTTTTTAAGTTTTATTTTTAGGCTGGGCACAGTGTCTCACACCTGTAATCCCAGCACTTTGGGAGGCAGAGGTGGGTGGATCACATGAGGTCAGGAGTTTGAGACCAGCCTGGCCAATGTGGTGAAACCCTGTTTTTACTAAAAAATTAGGTGGGCACAGTGGCACACACCTGTAGTCCCAGCTATTCTGGAGGCTGAGGTGGGAGGATCGCTTGAACCTGGGAGGCAGAGGTTGCGGTGAGTTGAGATTGCACCACCGCACTTCAGCCTGGGTGACAGAGAATCTGTCTCAAAAAAAAAAAGTTTTACTTTTAATTGACAATTATGTATGTTAATGGAGTATGGGGCACAATGTACTGTTTTGATATGTGTATTTACTGTGGAATGATTAGATCAAGCTAATTAACATATGTATCACATACTTTATGTTTTTTATACTGAGAACATTTAAAATCTATTCTTTTAGCAGTTTTGAAATATATAATACATTATTATTAACTATGGTCACCATACTGTGCAATAGATCTCAATTTGTTCTCCTATCTAACTGCAACTTTGTATTCTTTGGTCAGCATCTGTCATCCACTCTCCTGGTAACTATCTTTCTATTTTTTACTTCTGTAACTTTGACTATTTTAAATTGCACATATAAGTGAGATTGTGTAGTATTTGTCTTTCTGTGCATAGATTATTTCACACAGTCCAATATTTCACAATATTGTCCCAGTGACAGAATTTCCTTCTTTTTAAAGGCTGACTAGTATTCCATTGTGTATATATACCACATTTTCTCTGTTGATGGGCACCTAGCATGATACCATATCTTGGCTATGTGAACAGTGCTGCAGTGAGCATGGGAGTACAGATATCTCTTCAGTGTACTGATTTCAGTTCTTTCTAATATATACCCAGAAGTGGGGTTACTGGATCATATGGTATTCTAATTTTAGTTTTTTGAGGAACCTCCATACTGTTTTCCATAATGGCTGTACTAATTTACATTACAACAGTATACAAGTGGTCCTTTTTCTCCACATTCTTGCCAACACTTGTTATCTTTTGTCTTTTTGATGGCAGTCATTCTAACACATGTAAGATAATCTCTCATTGTGATTTTAATTTGCATTTCCTTGATTATTAGTGATGTTGAGCATTTTTAAATAAATCTGTTGGCTATTTGTATGTCTTCTTTTAAAAAATACCTATTCAAGTCCTTTGTCCATTTAAACATCAGGTTATTTGTTTTCTTGCTATTAAGTTGAGTTTCTTATATATTTGGGATATTAACCCCTTATCAGATGTGTGGTATACAGATATTTTCTCCTACTCCGTGAATTCTCTTCACTCTGTAAATGGTTTTCTTTGTTATGCAGAAGCTTGAGCTCTCTACATTTGTTCTTTTCCCACGTTTGTTCCTTCTCATCATTATTAGAGACTACATTGGGGATTTAGAGTGACATCTAATATACACTAGAAAATCAGTGCAGAATCATTTTGGGGTGTTGTTTCTGGTTAAAAAATCACATATTTGGGGGTCTGGCAAATAGTAGGCTGCCAGTGGCTTCCAAAAACCTAACCTTTCAGTCATGGAAAGGGATGAACTGTTGGCATGGAAGGGCATCTTAAAGGGCTCTCATGTCAGTGTATTGGAACTGACCCTGGAAACTAATGAAAGAGTAATCCTCCCTAAACCAACCCAAAGCTGGTAATCCCCAAGGCTGCATGTTGGTGATTAAAAAAGAAAGGTAGGAGCAGCTGTCTTTTTGTTCAGTTTAATTATGACCCAGTACCCGGGTGAGTGCTAATTTCCTGGTGGCACTGGAAGTGGGTGGGAAAAGGTGTTAGGTTTCTGCAGGCTGCAGGGACTAAATGTACAGACGTGGATTCTGCCTGGTGTATGTCTAGGGATCCAGCCACAGTTCAGGGGAGCCCAAGCTTGTGAGGTCAGGTTGCATGGCTTTTAATTTCTGCCCTTTAAATTGGAGACATGGGCTGCTGTGTGCCAGAGGACACAGCAGTACTATCAGGTGTCAGCTAGACTGCACACCTTAATTAATAGCTGTCTTGCCCCCCTCAACAACTAGCTACAGGGCAGCTGCTGAGCCTGTGAGACAGAACTTACGTTATTAAGCAGAAGAGAAACATTTAGCCCTCCTAATCATTTCAGCAGGGTTCCAGTCCAGAGGTCACAGCACTGGGCATCTCCTTTCCCCGGGTCCCCGTTCCCAATATTCAAGTTGGTATCCACGGGTGTGTTTATAGCCAGCCTGTGAACTACAGACTGTTGGTTGAAATTAATGCCCCTGCTCGTGGTGAACATGCAACATCATTCCTCCTGACTCTTCTTGTGTTCTCTGTCCTGGAGAATGGTCCTGCCATTTGCCCCGTTGTCCAAATGGATAGCTGAACAATCATCCTGGATACCGTCTCCGTTAATAGCCATATCCAGTAATGGCCATTTCCTATGGATTCTACCTTCTAAATAGCTCTCACATCTGCTATGCCCTTTCCTGCATTGCACCTGCCTGTTCCTTGCATGGTGCTGAGGTTTGAGGTATGATTGATCCGTCACCCAGGTATTGAGCATAGTAATTGATAGTTTTTCAACCTCTGCCCCGCGTCTTCCCTTCCTCCCTCCCCCTTTCATCTTCCACCTTTTGTTGTTTTCAAGTTTTACCACCACTGTTGCTTTACAGGCATTTCACACTACTCTCTGTTTAGTTTTACTCTTGTTCTAAGCAACATTCTCCTTAAAGGCATAGGTTTCAAATTCTAGTTGCATTTCTCTGCTATAACTATTATAGTAACAAATGTTAGTTCATATGCCAACTAAAATTATTTCCTTGTGGAAATACGGAACATTCCAAGCCCTTAATCATTTCCTCTCTAGTCTGATATTCCACTGGCTGAACTTGCTGCTATTTGAATACTCAATGTGTTAATACCTCCTGAGCTTGTCATGGAATAGTCTTGTTTTCCTGGAATGTAGTTCCTCCCTGGCCGAAGGCAAATGCCTACTTCAAAACTGAGCTTATATGTTTCCTCCTCTGTGAAGGTGTCCCTGGTTCCTGCAGAGAATGGCAGGCTTTCTCTGTTCTATGCTTTCTTCCAAACTTCCGCTGCAGGAAACTTGTTGGTCTCCTCACTGTAAGCTCCCTGAGGTCCAATATGCCTGGCACAAAGTAAACACTCAGTGGGTGAATGAATGGGTGAAATGATGCCAGGAAAGTCACTCCTATCCTTGTTATCATGAGTCCCATCTCTAAAATCAGAGGATGTTTGGGAGATCTCAAAGATTTCTTTTCAGCTCTTTCTAGTATGTGAAGAAAAAGGTACAGCAAAATTAATTGCCTGCGGACACAGGATTATTTGTGGCAGAATCTAGAACCCTCATTCTTTTACTGTTTCCTGTGGACTTCAACATTTTAGACTCCTTCTGATAAGGTGGCCCACATGGGGAAGGTGGGCACCTGCAGGCCCCATGCTGAGGAGAAAGTCTCAGGTGAGTGGGGTTCCTGCCTGGGCTCCCGCGTGACCCTTCCACTTGCAAGCTGGAGCTCCCTGCGTAAGCAACTGAAAACGCATCTCAGACATTTGCATAAATAGCTAGACTTCTATAGGAATAAAACTCAGCTGTCTAACGTGAGACTCAGACATGCTTGTCCTGGGAGAAAAGCAGTTCTAGACCTCTTTGTGCCTGGCTATTTGATTCACTCATGTAGATCATTCTTGGGGCCTTCCCAAGTGAAGACTTCCCTCTGCTTCTCCTTCTGCTGCAATGCTTCATTCAAGCCACAATTTTAAGGTACTCATAGTTTTGCATGACATCTCAGTTCTTCCATCTCCATCCTAATATTAAATCACCAGGGCATAGCTTCTTCATAGTCTTCATAGATGGCATGTCAGTATTTTTTTAATTGCATTGATTTTTTGAGGGGAGATGTCTGTGTGTCTGGGTTTTTTTGATTGGACACTTTGTTGAAAGTGCAACATTCCCAGAATCTGAGAAGAAGCATGTAACATTTGACTGAAAACATAATAGTCTTATTATTTGTTATTGAAAAATGTTTTCTGATTTCTGAATGGGAAGTTATCTTTTAATGTTTTCACATTTGGACTATCTCAAATACAGCAAAGATGCATAATTGTTTTTTTCAGAGATAGAATCTTGCTTCATTGCTCAGGCTGGAGTATAGTGGTACAATCATAGCTCACTCTAACCTCCAACTACTGAGCGCAAGGGATCCTTTCCACTCAGCCTCTCAAGTAGCTGGGACTATAGGTATGCACCACTATAAATAGCTAATTTTTCTTTAATTTTTTGTAGAGACAAGGTCTCACTATGTTGCCCACACTGGTCTTGAATTCCTCAAGTGATGCTCCCGCCTTGGCCTTTCAAAGTGTTTAGATTACAGGGGTGAGCCACTGTGCCTGGCCCCAAAATATTTAAACATAAAAATGTTCTTGAAAAAAACTTTATGAAATATCAGTTTTCTCTTAAAAATGCCTCAATAAATATGATGCTTCCAAATGTTATTAATTTTTTTCTTAATATCAATTTTTGCCTCATTACACCTTGATAGATTAATAATAAACCAAGCAATAATAATAAAGGACCTACTCTGTGCCAGCTACTAGATCTTTTTTTTTTTTTTTTTTAAATATGGAGCACTTCATGAATTTGCATGTCATCCTTATACAGGGACCACGCTAATCTTCTCTGTATCATTCCAGTTTTAGTAAATGTGCTGCCAAAGCACGCATAGCTGTTGGGTCTTACGGTTAAAAGTAATATGGGCTTATTATACTGTAGGTAAAACAATTTAGTGATTTAATCCTAAGATGCAGATATGAGTCTCTATTTTCAAATACTGAAGATATATTGTATAGCACATTGTCTAAGATTTAACTTTGCATTTCACGGAAGTACTGTGCTGCAAAGACACCTGAAGAGAGAAAAAAATGAGTGACTTGTTCTCTAAGAAGCTTGGCCAGGACCTACTTACAAAATATGCCAGGAACACAAATGTGAAGCTCTTAGAAAACAATTCAGAAAGCCGGTAACCCACTATAATAGAAAGCCAGAATATCATATCTGAGGAAGATGAGGCTTCCATGAAATGTTATAAGCTTTTGTTTGTTGAGACTTTGAGACAGGGTCTTGGTCTTTTGCCCAGGTTAGAATGCAGTTGTGTGATCATAGTTCACTATAGCCTCAAACTCCTGGGCTCAAGTGGTCCTCCTGCCTCAAGCTCCCAAGAAGCTAGAACTACAGGCACATGCCACCGTGCCCAGTTAATTTTTAATTTTTCTGTAGTGATGGGATCTTGCTATGTTGCCCAGGCTGATCTTGAACTCCAGGGCTCACATCCTCCCAAAGTGATAAGATTATAGATGTGACCCACCATGCCTTGCCCACTTAAAAAAATATACACACACAAGAATTAGCCCCTCACTAATAAGTGAAATGGCAACAGTCATGTAGTACCATCTGTCAGGTTCCAACCTGAGCTGGGGTCTGAAGGGAATTTGTGGACAGGTGGAGGGTAATGGAAAGAACACTTGAGGGATCATACGCAGTTGGGACATGGCTTTATTCTCTCTGTTCCTACAGAGTCAGCAGTGCAGTTATATTACAGACGATAATGGCTTAAAGCCTCATATGAGCTCACACAAGCAGGTTACATCAAATGGCGACATAAATGTGATTACATATTGCACGGGGTTGTGCACCTATGCTCCAAACCTGCTGTGTCAGACTGTACCAGATGTCTACCTCAGCCTACTCCTGATTGCAGCACAGTAATCCACCCTGTAGGCCGAGGGAGTCCTTGTAGTGGGGAGACGTGCCCACAGGGTGGAACTTTGGACTCATAGGCCACAGCAGCAATATAGGGAGCAACAACTCACTACTAATATTCCTGCTATGCTGCCCATAATTATTAGGGTCCAGTATAGGCCAGAGCCTAAAGATGCTCACCATGTCTGTAGGGGGTCATCAGTAAGGCTGTCAACTGCCTTGATTTCCTGGGAAACTCTTGCAAAACTGCTGTTATGTTTTGTTCATTGTCAGGGATGAAGGCACAACATTGCGTTCCCAAAAGAGCACAGGTGCCACCTTGGGCAGCAGTTAATATGTTGAGGGCCACCCAGTTCTGCAGTACCACCTTCCTGGTTTGATCAACCCCATCTGTCAATAGAAGGAGGGCAACTTGGGTGTAATTCAAGGCTCAAGCAGTGTGCTCTGCAAGGGCGGTAACTTGCGTTTCTACAGGTGACACCTACTTCAGGGATGGTTAATGCTAAGGGGCAGAGCCACCAGGGGGTTTGTCGCACTCACAAAAACTGGGAACGTAGTGCCTCCCAGTTATTTGGGCATCTAGGTAATGTGGGAATAACAGCGGCAGGCACGTAAGGTTCCCCCTAGGTACAGCAGCCAGTCCATTTCACTGGCAAAGATGACCATCCTGTGTCTTCAGAGGTCTATAAATTTCCAGGGGGGCACTAAGTCCACTGGGGCCCAGCGTTGATGAGGCTGCCTATTCCACTGCACCTTTGGTGTGGTGACATATGTTATATTTGTGCAGGCTATGGCAGGTAGCCGCCCTATGGTGGCCTTGCCCCAGTGCTGCTCTATACATTGTGGTACCTGTGGTAGGGGCACCACATGTTCTCCCACTAACCAGCCCCATCCATCATAGTCGCTATGGGTCAGCCAGGGGGCAGGCATGCTATGGGTTTTGTGGGATCCTCTATCCAAAGCTTGTCATGTTGCATTCCAAATGGCCATGGGACCCCAAATGTCTAACCATGTCCAGTTTTCCATAGAAGCTAGATGTATGTGCCAGGGCAAGCCATCCACAGCTGCTGCTGGAAGAGCGGTGCAGATTCAGCAGTTGGAAACACTAGTCACCTCAGTGTAGGTGTGGGCCCAGTCCACAATGCCGTTGGAGCATGTCCACCTATGGTCAAAACGATAAAGCAGGCACAGTTACTAACCAGGGTAAATCACACCCCTCGGGCAAAATACAGGCCAACCTTTCATTCCTGGATAACAATGCAGCCACCAAGGGCTTCTGCCCTAGGCAATGGCACCACACCTTCTCAGCTCCCCATGGTTCCTTTGGGTCCTGTATCTGTGCCAAAGTCACTGGGGAGCTCATAATAGGTCACACAGATAATACATATGGACCCCAGAGGAGGATTCCTTCCCTGGCCATTCCTCTATGAACGGTCAATCACGGAGGGCATATATTAAATACCTAAGGAGTGACATGTAAATCATACTGTAGGCCCTCCTCCCAGGGGCTGCAATAGCTAACCATTGGCAATGTGGGGCTTGGAGGGTCCATAGCCAAAGCCAGATTCTTTGTTCCCCTGACTTTAGGGGTGCTGGGGCAGGCAACAACAGGTTACTGTTTGTCCCCATACCTGGTCGGAGGAGGTCATCCCTGGTGTGTATCTGTAACTGGATGGGGGCAGTGGCCCGGTGTAGCAGTGCCTCCACCAGGGCCAGGCCAGCTTTCCGTGGCGGTTCATTCAAGGTTTGGAGCACTAGGTCCAACCATGAACTCCAGCCCCACAAAGATGGGGGAGTAACATGCAAGGATAACCCATTTTTCAGGAGTCCATTATATCATTCAGTCATACCAGCAGCTTGTGGAACATGGGACCTCCACTTTATGTCCATCTGTTGTGCCCTGTTGTACCTGCTGTCCAGTAAAATGTGTTCCCCTATCACTTTCAATGATCAGGGGACAACCATATAGGGCACCGAAGTGTTGCAGGGCCTGAATGGTGTGGTGTTGGTCAGCCGTCCTGCAAGGGTAGGCAAATAACAGACTGGTGGCCATGTCTACAGCCGTCAGAACATGTGCATGCCCCTGTGACCTTGGAAGTGGCCCAATGTAGTCTATTTGCCATCTAGCCAAGGGCATCCACCCTACCGTCACTTGTTGTGTAACCCTGGGCAGCTGCCTCTGTCTGGTGTATGTCTGTGCGCATGCTGGGCGCTTCTGGTGGGCCTCTCAGATATCCTATGTGGGCAAGGATAGACCCCAGCGCTTACTGACCTGTTGCATTAGTTTACCCTCCGCATGGCCCAATTTTCAGTGCAGCCATAGGGGTTATATCTTGTGTAAGTGCTGACTCCAACCACTGGATCTTGGCCAAGGTATCTACCTCATCATTGCTGGGGACAGCAAAAAGCACACGTCCTGACACATGATAAATAGTTACATCCTTTTGGTGGCCCATTTCCCATAGGTTTTGACACATGGCCTGGCCCCAAATGGGCAGGTGGCCAACTAGCCAATTCTGTAACTTCTAGGTAGTTAACCACAAGGTCAGGCCTCGATATGCTGCCCAGCTATCAGTGCTGATTACCACAGGTGTCTCCTCCTTGGTGATCACCATCCACACTGCCCTTAGTTCCGTCCACTGACTACTTTGTCTGCACCCAGTATCAAACCATGTGGTTTCAGTACTAGGCTGGACCCAACCGTATACCACGCCCCATCAGGAATGGGGGGGGGTGCCCTTCTTTAAACAGTAATGGCTTAGGGTTTAAGAGTGCCTCAGGCTGACCCATAACCATATCTTACATCGGAACTGCAGGTCCCAAGAGTTCTTGTAATTCTGCTGCTAAGGGGCTTGTACTCGGTGTGCTCTGCCGTTCTAGGTAGACGCCCCACTTTGCTAAGGTGGATGTCTGTGCTGTCCCAGTCCGGGGGGTGGTTACCCATGAATGTACCCACCCTGCTATTGGGTAAGTCGGCCACACGACGACTGTAGCCTGTCCCATCACACTCTCACAAGCCTGAAGGGCAGCATATGCAGCTGCTAATTGCTTCTCTATTGAGAGATACCAGAGATCAGCTCCCTTCCAAAGTTGGGACCAAAAGCCTACCCGTGTTCTAAATTGCTCCACGTGCTGCCATAGGCCCCAGCCAAAACCATCTGCGGTCACATGCACATCGAGTTCAAATGAGCACCCTGGGTTAATTACTCATAGGGCCTGTGCTTGCTGTATGGCCCACTTGGCTGCCAGAAAAACCATTTCAGCATCATTGTCCCAATACCAGGTAGCTCCCTTTTTTTTGTCAACTAATACAATGGTTTTATCATCTGAGCTCAATGGGGCAGGAATACCCGCCAATATCCTCAGAGGCCCACAAAAGTCTGTAGCTGCTTCATCATTGTGGGGTGGGGATATGCCTGAATTTTATCAGTGGCCTCTGGGATGTCCTTCTTCTTACCTCACCAGATAACTCCCAATAATTTGGTAGACCCTTGGACCTTGGATTGGTTAATGGCCCAACTGCATGCTGCCAAATGTTATTGCAAGAGGGGTGCCGCTGCTTCTAAATCTGCAAGAGAATCAGAGGTTAACATAATATCATCAATATCATGGAATAGGTGGACCTCCTTTGGACATTTCTAGGTGGTTAAATCCGTGGCCATGAGACAATGACATAGGCTGGGGCTAGGCACAAAGTCCTGCCTCAACACTGTGAAAGTCCCTTGTTACCCTTCCCATGTGAAAGCAAACTGTTCCTGGCTCTCTGGAGCAATGTCATTTGAGAAGAATGCACTGGCAAGTCTACCACATAGGGGTACTGTCCCAATTCCGTTGTCAAGCGGCCCATCAAATCAGTGATAGACAGTACAGCCGGATGTAAAGGGAGTGTTACTTTATTTAATTCTCAATAATCCACCATCATCGGCCAGGTTCCATCAGGCTTTCTGACTGGTCATACCA